GACATAGCATTGGCCATTGCGCTCACTTGGGGAGTGAATCATCGGACGAAAGATCTTCCTCTCTGTCTCTCTTCTCTGTATATCCGCCTTTCCAATAAAAAAATAATAATAAAAATAAATCTTTAAAAAAAAAAGTGTGGCCCATAGAGAAAAATGTCAAAAGGGCTGACAAGTTTTTGCAATTTATATAGTCACATATTCAGGCTATATGTGTACAAATACATATAAAGACTTCAAAATATTTTGTCAGAAAGAATATAGTTATATCAGGACTGTTTTCATTTTTAAAAAAGATTTAATTTTTTTACTTGAAAGAGTTATGGTGAGAGGGACAAATACCTTCTCTTCCTGGCTGACTCCCCACATGGCCACCATGGCCAGGGATAGGGCAGGCTGAAGACAAGAGGCTTCAACCAGGTCTCCCCTGTGAGAGGCAGGAAAACAAGCACTTGGACTAGATTCCACTGTTGATTTTTTTCTAGGCACGATGGAGTACCGGGTCAAATAGTGCCCATGTAGGATGCCAGTATCTCAGGCATAGCTTTACCTGCTATGCCACAGTGCTGCCTCCCACCACTGCCCCTCCCCCCAAAAAAACTGTCTTTTCATATGGTCCCAGTAAGCAATGATTCTATGATGAGTATTGTAGCTTAAAAGGTTAGGAATATCTTTCAGTTCCTGTATTTGGTATGACAACTAAAATCATCATAAGTGAGGTTGAGATGCCATAAATTCCTTGTAATATCAGGGAGAAAGATAGGGACACTGAAATGTTGGAATGGATTCATATGATTCCTTCTCACCTATCCTGGAATATTCCATAGCACACATCTTTTACCATCAGTGTGAGAATAAAATTTGGGAACAGAATCCCAACAACTCCAATGTTTATGTGGCTTTTCTTTTTAGATGTGAAACTACTGTGAGACTGCTGCTGTTGAATTTGGATCATTGTATACAGCTGGAATAACTGCAGCATGAGGTGACTCAACACAAGTGGCAGCACCAAATTTTCAAATACATACTAGATTTGATTAAGGAAGATAAAGTCAACGTGGATAATCATTGGATATTTGCTCATGGAGTCCCTATAAGAGAAGTATATGGGCATTCTGTTAACTTGCTACTGGATTTAAATCAGCAAGTTGAACAGTGTCTCAGTTGCACCATGACAGTATTGTAGCCTTATTGGATCAATTTTCCAATCTCACTCAGGCCAGTTTGTACTCCTAAAACTTCATGAATGAAAGGAAATATTAGAATTATCTTGACATAACATTATTGCTGTGTATTTTAGATTTTCTCTCAGTCTTCCTGAATCAGAGACACGGCTCTGTAATAGAGCAATTTGTACACAGACTTGACATTAATTACCAGAGATCCAAAATGACATTTTGGTCAAATTTGGGGAGTAACATTTTATGAATGTCAGGTGATTAATGTACTTCTAAATTCAGACCCATCTCAGTAAATCCTAAAGCTGATCTTGAGGTTATTTCTTCAGCGAATGAAATATTACATACATAGATACCACAGCTTTTCAAATTGGATTTATAGTCACAAAGGCTTTATTAAAGCCATTAGAACTTCCTCTTCCCAATAAAGCAGAAAGTCTAAAGCACATCAGGGATATAGGCATGCGGATGTCCAACACATTGCCATTTGTTTCAGCTGATTTAATCTGTGTAGAAAATAGATAGGTTTTGAGGAATAACAATAGACTGTGGAAGTATGACCATATAGCAGCTCCAATCTCAGTGACTGTTTCAGATGTGGTTCCATTACTTGAAGAAGAATGTGTTTTCTGGTGCCTGTTAAGATGCTTTTATTCTGGAAAAAAAAATGCCTAATATTTCTTAAGTAAGATCACTAGAAATAATTTACTTTTATCAGGGAAAGTCAAAAGTACACACTCCTTCATGAGACATCTAAAGCAGTTGTAACTCAGAGGAAACAAACAGCATGTGTTTACATTGACCATACATGCAGGGTAGAGTCATTCTTTGCTCATTAATAATCAGATCAGGAGCAAAACATGGCAAGTTTGCACTGGATTGTCTGTATGAAAAACTTACTGCTTCTCTGTATAGCTCTTAAGGTTTGAAGAGCCAAGAGCTATTTGATGAAATCAGAATAATCTACATTAAAGAGCTAGAAGAAGCCATTGTCAAGAGGGAAGGAAACTCCAGTCAGAACTGGCAGCGGTTTTATCAACTGACAAAACTCCTGGACTCTATGCATCAAGCGGTTGAAAAGCTCCTTCACTATTGCTTCCAAACATTTTTTAATAAGACCATGAGTATTGAATCACCAGAGATGTTAGCTGAAATTGTAACCAGAAATCATAATCAGATAGCAAAATATTCAAATGGAAACATCAAGAAACTTCTGTTTAATCAAAAGTGAATGCCTTTACAAGAAATGTTGCCTTAAAGAATGTTGAATATAGCTTTTATTGTACAAACTGTCACTTCGTCCTGCAGAGGTTTTATTGTTTTATTGTCTTTCCTCTTTAGTTGTGTCTATTTTTGTTTTTGGTACACACTACACGTGGTTTATAGTGCCAGCACTTGGTGACAGAAGCAGGTGCCATCACTCTTTCGGTGATGGGAAAGTAGACAGTGAATTGCATATTGGTGTCTCCCAGAAAGTAGGAACAGTAATGTGGGGTGACCTCTGCCGTCAGGCAATGGCACCTAAACCACCAGGGCCCCAAGTCTGTGTGCTGAGCTCTCTGCTCCTGTTTCTCACAGCTGGCTTGATAAAATTTTCTCAACTTTTTGTTGATGTATTTTCCCTGTATAATTAGGATAGCATTTTTGATTTATGCATGGAAACCTGAAAAAAGTTTACAAGTGTATATCAGAAAAGGGAAGTCAGACCTTTTATATCTTTTACTGTCTGGTTTTAACACTTTATATCCAGTGAACTACACTTGCTCATTTTTTTCATACATAAGTTTTGTATCCAAGTTATTGTACAGCTGTTTAAATTGGGCAGCTGGTTAAACTACACATTAATCTTTAAAAAAATATAAATTCCTAGCCTACCAGGAGAGTATATATGTACATCTGTCCTCTGTCATAATTTATTCTACAGAGACTCTATCAGTTCATCTTATGTTATTAACACAGTGCCACAAAATTAGTAAGCTATTAAGTGATTAATTTTGGTTCATGGTTCTCATATATGATCAACAGACCACATTAGATTATAGCTTTCTTGCCAATCATCATATGGGAAGAATAATGAGGTGTGAGTGTACATAAGGCAGAGGGGGCTATGGGAAGGGAGAGAGGAATGGAAGAAGAGAAAGAAGGAAGAAGGGAAAGAGAGAGTAAGCAGCTGATCCATCCCTTAAAGTCACCTGCATTCAGTGTTGGAACCCTATCCTCTCAGCACCTTACCTAATACTGATTATTTATACCACAGTTTCAAGATGTTATACAATGTGCTTTGTCACTTGGGTCATTTCGTGCAGCAGAGATTCAATGGTGCTTGCAGTATCAGTAACAAGTAGAGATTGGTGAATGGAGTCTTTTGAAGGCTGTTTAGGTAATTCACATAAATTGTGGAGTTGGCTTGGCCCTCCTCCATGGATAACTTCAGAGTCTGAGACCACTGAGGGGACAGAGGGCAACCTCACCTCCGGAATAGTGTGCATGATGGTCAGGCTTCCAGAAGACATTGAACTAGAGGTGATTTGGAAGAAAGTAGCAGCTCCAGGTCGTGGTATGGGCTGAGACTCCCGCATGAGCTGTGTTGTTACATTGACTCACTGACATTTGAGGTTCTGAGCAGCTCAGCTGCAAGAGCTTACACATGATCTTACCCTTGGATAGAAGGCAGTGTGGGCTGCCTCTTATGCCTTTCAGAGACCAGGGAGCATCATCGCTGGATCTGGAGACTATCGGAAATTGGCCTTTGGTAGTGGGCACTGAAAAGATACTTGCTTGATCCCTGAAGACAATTTTCAAGTAGGACTTCCTGCCTGCACAGCAAAGAGGATGCGCTAGTGAGATTCCAGTAACAGTGCGCATGAGACCTCTTGAGCCCTCTGGTAAGAAGGGCCCAAGACAACATTCATGTTGGGAAGGATTCGCCAGGCCCATGTGGACCTCTGCTCATGGTGTCTGACCACCCCATGGAGATATGAGCACACCAGTTTATTATGGCACTGAAGTGTGGGATAGGCCTCACAATGCAGCCTTTCAAAGTCCCCCTAACTGACAAGGATACTGTGTTTGGAAAAGTGAATAGAAACAGCTTAAGAACTACCTCAAGGCTTATTCCAAGGATACTGAGTCTTTGGTCAGCTGGGGATGCCCACTTTCAACCAGGCAGTTGTGTAGATGCCTGAGGCAGGCACTGTCTGTATCTCAGACAGGAGGGATTACATCCATGCGAGAATGATGGCAAAGGATGTTGACAGCAGGCCAGACCCTTGCAGATATGAGTTCCTGTGAGAAAAGTGATGAGAGTCTACCCAGGAGCAGGTGAAGTGGGAGCTTGGAATTACCTCGGGATCATGCCTCTGGGCATTGCTGGCTTTCACCTCTGCTCTTTGACCTCAGTGTCTCCTCCATCTGCTTGCAGCCCACATTCCAGTACCCAAACCCATCTTCCAGTGCTCCAATTTCAAGCCAGGTTCTCGTTACTCATGACATGATCCTGTGCTCCAGCCCAGCTCAATCACTCTTCGTGCTCAGGCATTTCCCTCCAACCAGCTACACTGGAATTCAGCTCTCCCTTCACCAAACCCAAGAACTAATGTTTCTCTGCTTTGGGACAACCATTGATTTCTTGAGCTGTGCGCCCTGGATGTTAAATCTCATGCCCTCTGACAGCATTTACAGTCTAAATGCAGAGTGGCAGCCTTCTTCCCTGACAGTGCCCTTTTAGTGGTCTCCTGCACCCCTACTTTCTCCTCAGAGCCCACACTTGAGAGTCTTCCTGTGAGGTCCAGTTTCCTGAACTGCAGCCTGGTGTTGACTACTGGGAAAGGAAGATGTTGAGGAGCGGGAGTGTCCAGAACAAGAGCAGGACAGCTGTTTTATTGGGTCTGATCCTACCAAGTCTAGTCAGGGTGTGCAGAAAGGCCAATCACAAGTAACCATTTACAGAAATAGGTAATTTCAAACATGGACACTGATACATAGGATGAAAGGTGTTGAATGCTACAAGGTCAGTTCAGGGCTCTCTGGAGGATGAATGGCAGCAGATGCCAGGTACGTGCAGGCCTGAAGGCTGTGTGAGGTCCAGACGAATCAGCTGCCCTCACAGGTAAAGATGAGCTGGTGTAAGACAGAGTAGATGTAAGTTCTGGTGAATGAGTGAGCCTTTTGATTCCATTAATCCAGTCGATGAAGTAGGAGACTCTGGTGAAGACGCTGGGATAGATGGGGTGCTGGCAGTCCAAGCCCCAGCTGGCCAATCCAACCAGTACCCAGGCATTGGTAAGGTAGCAAACAAGAGGACTCCCAGAATCACCCTGTAGAGAGAAAAAGGAGGTAGCTTTGGAGGCTGAGCAGATTGGGGAAGGCATGTAACAAGGTCTGGGGTCTTGTGCCTGTCTCTGAATCAGGGCCCCACATTAGAACAAATCTCAAGAGTGGAACTCTGGGTTCCAGTATCAACAAATTCCTGGGCTAATCCCACCTCAACCTACTGATAGGTCTTCCCCACTCTGCACCACACACTTGGGGGCCAGTGGCCAGGAAGGGACAGTGTCTATGGTCAGGAGAGACAGAGCCCAAGAGAAACTATGTGTGTGAGTTCAGTGCACAGCCTCTGCACAGACCCCAGATGCTAGACACCCTGAGCTGCATCCGTCCAAGCCTGCTTCCTTTCTTGTTCATCTGGGCCTAAAGCTTTCTCTCAATCTCTTAGTTGTTGGTCTTTAGAAAACTCCTAGACCCAACTCAGGTGAAGACAACCCACATGGGCAAGGTCTCTGAAAAGTTTCTGTGGTCACCGGTTTGTGAATTCTACCTCCTGGACCCAAGAAGTGAGACTAAAGCAGGCCCTCTATCCATCTGCCCAGTGTGCAGGCTGGGCATCAGGGTGACATAGACAGAAAAAAACCCTGCTCCATGGGACTCACACCAACCAGGCATTGATAAGGTACATTGTGTCAGTGTACATAAATCTCCCCAGCTACAACTGGAAAGAAAAAGCACAATGTGATTGTACCAGCCTTGTGGGTAGAAGTTTTAGGTGGTAAAAACAAAGAGGGGAGGGGTGAACCAGGGTTAAGTGGATCACAGGAGGCCACTGGCAGTCTATGGGTTAGTCCAAGGATATACATGGGATACCCAGTTGATGGGCACCAGGTAGAAATAAGACCAATCAGGTGTGACAACCCTCTCACTGTCCTCTTCCCCACCCCTGGAACCTGTGACTATATTACCTTACATGACAGAAGAAGTTTTGCACTTAGGATGATGGAGAGGGTCTTGAAAGTGGACATGACCCTGGAGTGGCATGGTGGGACCAACCCCTTCATTCGCAACTTCCTGATATGGGGAAGAAGTTGGCAGGGGATCACAGGCAGACAAGATGTGATAACAAAAGCAAGGGGTTGGGTGAATGTGCACTGAGGACAGAGGAAGGTACTACAGCAGCAGCCCTGAGAAGCCAAAGAAGGCAGGGCTGGAAAACCCTCCAGAGCCTCATAGGAAGCAGATTGCCCACACCTGGACTTTGCACTTCGGCCCTCCAGATCTGAGAGTCTCTCAATGTCAGCCAGTTTAGCCTCTCAGTTTCTGATGACATGACTGTGCTGGTAAATTTCCCTTAGCCTTCTTGAGAGTAGGACTGTGTCTTTGCTGTCCCTAGTGCTTTCCTTGGTGGCTTCTCACCAAGTATCTGGTCCCTCTTCACACCATGCCCCCACCCAGCTTGTAAGGCAGCAGGAGCCCTCTACCTGGTGGTTGCTGTCTGCTCCAAGCCTCTGCAATTCATGCACATGAACCATGCGGCACCAACCTCACACTGGATTCTGGATCCATGGGGAAAGCACAGAAGGAGTCCAGGAAATTCAAGGCCACTGGGGAGCTCCAGGAAAGTAAAGGAAGTCAAGCCAAGGGAGCTTTGGTTCACACTAACGGAGAAAAGAAAGAGGGGGAGAAAGAAAGAGAGGTGCTAGTAGTGGTGAGGACAGTGTGGTGATTCGCATCATGGTTACAGAGGGCAGGTCTGAGACAGGCATGAAGATAAAGTGCAGGTCAGACAGAGAGGAACAAACAGAGCCTGAGACTTTAGGGCCAACACTTGATCAGCACCTGCCAGATACCAGGCAATGTACTTAATTTTCTATAGGAACCTTAAGACAGGGAGGCTGGCAGCAACCCCATTTCAAGCTGAGGAAATGCAGTTAAGGTAACAGTGCAGACTGCACAGGCTGGCCTGGACTGCCCCACTATCAGAACACTGAGTCAGTCACCCTGCACAGCTGTTCTTGGTGCTGTGGTTAGGAAGAGGCGATACTTCACAGAGGAGAAAGGAGCCCTCAGGAAAAAGTGGAGACCAGGACAAGTAGGGGAGGAATCCTGCAGGTTTTCAGACAGGCTGAGGAGGGAGGCTAATGCACAGGGACAGAGGGTTTTCTTGGATTCCCATGGAATCCAGTTCTGTGGTGTCCTTGGCTTAGTGAAGGAACATGAGGCACAGACAGATGTGGGAGCACAATAGGGTATCCACCAGATGTGCAGCGGGGGGGTCACTGGCTGAGGCACCAGCCCATGACCTTCACAGGAGAAGGCAGAATCAGAGCAAAGTTGGGCAGGAGGTACAGGGCCCGAAACTGTATTCAGCAGGCCCTTTGCTCCACCTACAGGAGGCAGACCGGATGAGACAGTCTGAAGGAAGGATTGAAAGGTATATGACAGGAAATCAAGAAACCTGAGGCCTCTCCTGGCCAGAAGGGCATGCTGGGGTCCTCGCTCCAGCTCAGCCCCCCAACCCCACTAGGTGGAAATGAAAACTGAATTTCCAATGAATTATTCTCACTACATGGTGACTCAGTACTCAGAATAGGAGCAAAAAACACAAGGTTCTAGTTTTTAATCTGTCATTTTGCTAGCAGCATGATCTTAGATAAATGTATGCAGTTTCAAAACTTTCCCAAATTAAAGTGTCATAAACTAAGCAATTTGAAAATAAGAAGAACTGATTCTCATGGTTCTGGTAGCTAAAAATTTATAAATCCCCTGTGTCACTCTAGCTGCACAGGAGAGAGGAGGACCACTTCTCACCTCGTCTGGCACTTGTTGGTGTTTCTTCTTGTGGTTGCATCACTCCAACCTCTACTCCTGTATCCACATGACCATATTACCTGAATGTGTCTCTATGGATGCTCTTCTAAGGTAAGATAAAGTAAGGTAAGGCAGGGTAAGGTAAGATGGAGAGGAGGAGGGAAGAGGAACAGAGGAGAGGAAGGAAAAACAGAGGAGAGGAGGAGAGGTGAAAGGAGAGGAGAGGTGAAAGGAGAGGAGAGGAGAGGAAGAAAAGAGGAAAGGAAGAAGAGAGGAGAGAAAAGGAGGGGAAGAGATGAGAGGGGAAAGGAGAGAAGAGGAGGGGAGGGGAGGGAGATGATGGGAGGGGAGAGGTAGGGAAAGGGGAGTGGAAGAAATGAGAGGAAGAAGAGAGGAGAGAAAAGGAGGGGAGGAGAGGGAAGAAAAGACAAGAGGAGGGGAGGGGAGGAGAGGAGGGAAGAAGAGAGGATGTGAAGGTAGGAGCTGAGAACAGAATCCAAGTCACCCATGTGAGCAGCAGGGACCCAACTACCTGAGCTATCACTGCTGCCTCCCACTGCACACATTAGCTGGAAGCTGAATTCTAACCAAACCCAGGCACTCTGATGTGGGACCCAGGCATCCCAGGCGACCTCCAAACTTCTGCATGAAATGCATGCCCAAGCTCTCTTTCCTTAGCAGTGTCAAATATTGAATTTAAGATCTGCTATACTATTGCATCTTTAGACTCTTAATTACATCCATAAAACCCCTATTTTCACATAAGACCCCCTTCGGAGACTCTCAGTGGACAGGTCACACTATCAACAACCACCTCAGGGAGGCTTAAGAATCCCCCATTACAGAAAACAACATTAGCTCAGAAGGTGAAAAGTCCAGGCGAGGCCACAGAGCAAGCCTATAAGGCAAAACAGGGGTCCAAAGACTTCCTTCTCCAGTCCTTGCTGCCAACCTGTGGGACAGATAATTTGGGAACAAATGTCTCGCCCACTTCCCCCTAATCCTTGACCCTTGCCATCCTGATCAACTATGTAAACATCATCAAAAAATAAAACTAATAAGAAATCATTAAAATCAGAGATGAAAACATAAACAAAATTAGAACCAAGAAATTATATAAAAGAACAGTGAAATGAGCATCCAGATTCCTGAAAAAGTACACAAATGCATTCACCATTAGCCCAACTAATGAAAAACAGGGAAACCCAAGGTAATTGAATCAGAGCTGAGAAAAGCATAGCTATCAGAGAAGTTGGAGGCCTTTCCACTAAGATCTGAAACCAGACACCGATGTCCATTCTCACTACAACTATTTAATATAGTTCTGTAAGTTTTAGCCGAAGGCAATAAGCAAGAAAAATAAGTCAAAGGGATACAAATGGCAACGGGTGGGGGGGAGAGGAGTCAGATTATTCCTGTTTGTAGATGACATGATCCAATACATAATGGAAGCCAAAAGACTCCACAGAGTCTTTGAAACTCATAAGAGAGTTTGCTAAAGTTACAGGATGTAAAATCAACACACAAAAACCAATTGTCTTTGTGTACACAAACAGTGCCATGGCTGAGAAAGAAGCTGTAAGATCAGTCCCATTCACAATACCTACAAGAATTTTAAGATTTAAATACATTGAAACCAATTCAACCAGGAATATGAAAGATCTCTACAATCAAAGCTACGGAAAAAAAATTTTTTTTAGGAAATAGAAGACACAAAAAATAGTAAAACTCTTCCATGTCCATAAATTGAAAAAATCACTATCGTCAAAAATCCATATTTCCAAATAAATTTGGAGATTCAATGCGATCTAAGCACAGTAGTAATGACACTCTTCTCAAACACAGGAAAAAAAAAAACCTAAATTTCTGATGGAAACACCAAAGACCCCAAATAGCTAACGCAATTTTAAACAATAAAAAAAGCTGAAGGTACCACAACACCAGATTTTAAGACATATTACAGAGCAGTTATAATTAAAACAGCCTGGTAGTGGCACAAAACACAGACATGTAAAGCAATGGAATAGAATAGAAACCCCCAGAAGTAGTCCACATAATTTCAGCCAATTAAACTTTGACAAATGAGTTTAAAAACTTATTTGAGACTGACTTAGTGAAATAAGCCAGTCTCAAAAAGACACATTGAATATGTTTTCTGTGATGCATAACAGTTAATGTAGAGTCATCCAGAAACCTTCAAACTCTTGCAAGAAAATGTAGGAAATACCCTGCAAGACCTAGGAGTAGGTTCCGACTTTCTAAGAAGGACACCAAAAGCAATAGCAGTTGAGAACAGAATAAACAAATGGGACCTCATCAAACTAAGAAGCTTCTGTACAGCAAGGGAAACAATCAACAAAGTAAAAAAGCAACCCACAGAGTGGGAGAAGATCTTTGCACACGATATAGGCGACAGGGGGCTAATTTCCAGGATATACAAAGAACTTCAAAACAACCAAAAAACCAAAACAAACAAGCCACTCAAGAAATGGGCACGGGAAATGGGCAAACATTTCACAAAGGAACAAGTCCAAATGGCAAACAAACATATGAAAAAATGTTCCAGCTCCCTAGCAATAAGGGAAATCCAAATTAAAACATCGATGAGGTACCACCTAACACCAGTAAGATTGGCCCACATAAACAAGAACACCAACGACGCTTGCTGGCGAGGATGCAGGGAAAAGGGAACCCTACTCCACTGCTGGTGGAGCTGCAAATTGGTACAGCCTTTATGGAAATCAGTCTGGAGAACACTCAAACAACTCAAAATCTGCATACCATATGACCCAGCAATAGCACTCCTAGGAATATATCCAAAACACCTGTTTTACGACAAACCAACATGCACCCCTATGTTCATTGCAGCACAATCAGTAATTGCAAAAACATGGAAGCAACCAAAATGCCCATCAGCAGAAGATTGGATAAGAAAGCTTTGGTTCATCTACTCCATGGAATACTACTCAGCTATTAAAAAAAACAAAATGCAGTTCTTTGTGGCTAAATGGGCACAACTGGAAACTATAATGCTAAGGGAAATGAGCGAATCCCAAAAGATTAGATACCACATGTTTGCCTTGATTTAACCTGTAATTTTTTGTTTGGTCGTTTGTTATTTTTTGAACCTGTCATTGATACTGTCTCAACCCAGATGTTTCGAAGAATGGAACTTGCATTATTTTTAACATATTGTTTACCCAATACTATGTCAATTAATTCCATAATGTTGTATATTGATACTGAGGCCTTGTTGGGCCGTTTAACTTGCCGGATCTTTACTCTGTTAGACCTATCTTCAGACCATAGAAGGTCTCCCCAAGAGGCCACTGAACTTATCTGGACAATAAGACGCTGAACTTTATGCTAGGCATGTGTTTGCAAGGAATGAATCTCAACTGAACTTGAACTATGGTTATGCAACAAGGTGGAGGAATCCACCATGGGGGGAGGGGTATGGGAGGGGTGGGGGGAATCCCCAGCGCCTATAAAACTGTACTACATAATACAATGTAAGCAACAATTAAAAAAAAAACAGTTAATATAGAGTACAAAAAAGTAATGAAACAGACACCTTGTGAAATATTGTCAATTTTAGCACTTGTTTGTACTCCTGTGGAACTGTGATCTTGCTATTTTTTACTTGCTGATTATTACAATTAGTGGTGAATTAACCCTGTGAATATAGTCAGTTGAGTCTGTATTTGGGAAACCTGATGAGACAGAGATAAAGAGAGAAGGTGTTTGGGGAGGAGAGGGGAGAGGGTATGTGATCGTCTCCTTGGAACTGTACCTATGGAATGTATGAATGTAGTTCATATCAGTAAAAAATAGTAAACATATTTACCTCTGAAGATAAACACAAAATGTGCATAGCTCTGCTACACAGTATACTGCCAACTTAGAAACTATTGCAAATACTCCCTTCAAGTAGAGAAATGATCATAGAATTCATTCTCATGGCAGCATATGATAGAGTAATGAAAATGAACTCACCATACATCAGCACATCATGTGTGAATTTCACAAATAAAACACTGGGCCCGGTACAGTGACCTAACGACTAAAGTCTTCGCCTTGAACATGCCGGGATCCCATACGGGCACTGGTTTCAATCCTGGCAGCTCCATTTCCCATCCAGCTCCCTGCTTGTGGCCTGGGGAAGCAGTGGAGGACGGCCCAAAACCTTGGGACCCTCCACCCACATCGGAAACTTGGAGGAATCCTGGCTTCGGATGAGCACAGCACAGGCCATTGCACTCACTTGGGGAGTGAATCATCAGACAGAAGATCTTCCTCTCTGTCTCTCTCTATATATCTGCCTTTCCAATAAAAAAAAAATCTTTAAAATATATATACATACAACACTAAGACAAAAGAGTACATGCTACAGATTCTGGTAATAGGAAATAAAAATATGTAAGCTGAGTTTTCAAAGCACGTCAAGGACAAGAAGATGGTAAGAAGTGAGGCGAAGTGAGGCATCTGCGGGTGCTGGAAACAAGCTGTGTGACCGGGCAAAGGTTATCAACAGCACACTTGGGACGTACACACTCTTGTGTAGCTTGTCATGCTTCAATAAGTTTAAATATTTAATGAAAATGAATGGTTTTGGGCCCGGCGCAGTGGCACAAGTGGTTAAGGTCCTCACCTTGCACACCTGGGATCCCATATGGGCGCCAGTTCTATCCCGGCAGCCCCACTTCCCTTTCAGCTCCCTGCCTGTGGTCCGGGAGGGCAGTCGAGGACAGACCAAAGCTTTGGGACCCTGCACCCGCGTGGGAGACCCGGAAGAGGCTTCTGGCTTCGGATCGACATAGCATTGGCCATTGTGCTCACTTGGGGAGTGAATCATCGGACAGAAGATCTTCCTCTCTGTCTCTCCTCTCTGTATATCCGCCTTTCCAATAAAAAAATAATAATAATAAATCTTAAAAAAAAAAAAAGAAAATGAATGGTATTTTAAGCCCCTTCCATCAAGTGCCCTCATGCTAGGAGGAGCCAGAGACGGGGTGATTCTGTGGGGTAGACTATTGAGGGATGCAGCCCACGGAAGTCAGAGGGAAGGAAACAGGAAATGCAGGGTGCCCACAAGGAGAGTTGGTGAAACACAGATCTCTTGAGGAACCGTGGGCCCAGAGAATAAGGCAAGGAAAAACAGAAAAGGCCTTACATTGCAGATGGACTTGGCTTTCGAGAAGTTCCCCACACAAAGCATCTCTTCATGGACACCATATTTGTTTGAGTCGATTCTCTGCCCATATAAGAAGTTACAGAACGTGTTCTCAATGATGCCCACCTCACTCTCCTGGAGATTGAATGGTGGTGAAAGATGCACTGCAAAAACAAAACAAATGGGTGGGAAGGGTAGTGGCATGCATGTTGACTTTACCAACGCATCCTCCCTGAACCTACGTTACACTGAAGCCCCACTCTGCTCACCACAGGGATTTCCTCATGACATCTGAGCATGAACACTGCCTCAATATCCTGCCCATCCTTGAAACGCCTCTCCTTCTTCTCAAACCTCTCCAATTTACCCAGTTCCCTTCACTTCTCTTAACAACAGAGCATGCCTCTTCTGCTATAGTGGTAAGTCTCACCAGAACATGACCCATTCAAAGGGGGTTAGCAATCATTCAGTGACCCACCTGCCCTTTCATGAACCATCCAGTTCAGTCTCCATCCATTAGTAAATTTTGTTTCATCTCTTCACCCACCCATCACCACCATCTACACTCAACCATGGATAGATATTTTTTCCTTCACATCATCATTCATTCACTATATATCCTTCCATCCATGCACTGAAATTGTTTATCAATCTCTCCATTTCCCCACCAGTTCTCCCTCCCACCTATCAACGCATCCAGCCATACCATCCAGCCACCTACTCACCATCCTTTTATACATATTTCTACCCACCAAAACCACATGCGATAAAATTTCCCTTCCACTGACCCTTCAGTCCACTCCCTAAATCAAGCAATAATCTATTTACTCATGTATTCATCTATCCACATTAATGATAGAAGGGAGCATTTTTGGTATAGAGAGAGCATGTAAACAGATATATAGAATTATTTAGGATCCTTGGGTGATACAAAGAAAGTAAAACATGGAGATGTGATCATTGTTACTTATTTTAGCTTACAGAGTTCAGAAAAAACTCCACAACAGAGGATATGAATCTTAAATGAAAGAAGAAATTGATTCTAAAAGAATTGGAGGAGACAGCAAGCCAGGCCAATAAAGCAACAAAGCTAAAGTGCCTGAGATGGGAATTGCCTTGGAGTAGTGAGTAAATAAGCCCTGTGGTGGGATGATGTGTGTGAGGGATAGGAGATGAGGGAAAGATATCCGGATGCTAACATCATGCAAGGCTTATAGTCAACACAGGAAGTTTTGGTTTTATTCTAAGTATAAAATAACAAGGTACTGGACAGTAATGGACAGTGAGCAGTTAGGACTTAGTTTGAAAAATAATACTCTAATGACTCTGTGGAGACTAAAACAGAGGCACACAAGGTGGAAGGATTCTGGGAGACCAGTTCAAGGGCTACTGGACAGAAATGATGGTCTACCCTGCCAGTGAGGTAGCTGTGCCATGAAGTACCACCACACAACTGGCATATTAAAACAGGCCTGTTCACAAGGGGTCTCCACTCAAGGAGGTGTGTGTGTGTGTGTTTATATACAGAGGGCTGGTTATCACCTGATTAGGAAGTGTTTTTGATTATTAGCATACAGCCAGTATCCAGGCAGTGGTAATAAATGAAGACTCATTCCGTCCAAATATCTGTAGTAACTTTGCTGAGAAACACTGCAGTAAGTTATGACTCTACAGATAATTACAAGGACATGTTCATATCTGCCTTCCCACTACACCAAAACATTTCTTCAAACTCACACACTCCTTCCACAAGAAACTCTCTTGTCTTTAAGTCTTTCTCCATGTTTCTTTAATCAGTTAATCAGGAAAACAAACTAACTGTGCTTCAGTTCAGCTAGCAAGACTAAGAAGCATCAGCCAACCTGAGTTATAACAAGGTGTGGTTTAGAGAGGTTAAACACCCAAAGATCATGGTTACGTTAATTGTATTGTATCACATAGCCTTGTATCAGAAGGGCCATGGTCCAGTTCAGTCCTGCTCTCACAGGTCATAGAAAGGAGGCACTGATTGCCAAGATCTAGCCGCTTCGGAAACCAGCCTTGGCCTCTGCAGAGCTGAGCCATTCTTGCTTTATTCCCTTGCAATTTTCTCCTTCCTCCCCTCCCCCAGCCTCCCGTCTCTCCCACACACACTCACTCTTCTTGGTGAGCATTCCCCAGCCAGTAATCCAACAGGATTTGAGACTGGACAGCTGCACTTCTGGGAATGGGAGGCAGACAGGAACAATGGAGGATGTGAAGTTCACAGGCAGGTGCAGCTGCACCATGACAATGTCACTTCCGAAGGAATGGAACTTCTCAAAGTCTGGGTGCATGAAAATCCTGCTTACAGGTATCTCCTGGGTGTGCTGGCTTGGCTGATACAGCTGGGTGTTTCCCAACAGAATCTTATAGTCCGTGGGGATCTGTGATTTGCTGGAGGAAGGAAGGCCATTATCATCATCATCTCTGAATGTTGGACCAGCCCACTTTCTCTGCATCTTCCTCTCACTGCCCATGCCACTATGGGTCCATGCACCCACCATGACTCTAAGCAGTTTTATCTACCCCTTCTTAGCTGTCAGGAGCCTTATTTCTTAGGGTTCATGGAGTTTTTACAATCTCAGGACATGTGATTTCCTATTAACACCCTAAAATCTGCAGAAAAGACAATACAGGTCCTGAAAGGATCCATTGGGGGCTCATCAAATCAAACCTCTTGACTCTACAGACAGGAGTTCTGGTTCAACCCCCATCCCCGAGTGATCCTTCCCAAGCCTTCCCAACACCCATCTGGTGACCCTCCTTTCCGATCCCTAGAAGACCTGCTTCTCCACTTGGTAGTAATGACTCCTATAGGACTTGGGAAATTCACAGAGCATTAAGGAAGCTTTCCTTGTTGCTCAACACGAGGAGGAACCACACTACTGTGGTAGCTTTGTTCACATAGTTCACTACCTACACTCCCATACCTAGTCCTTCCATCTTGTAACCCCTGCAACCCCTTAGCCCTCTCATAAAATCTAGAACAAGGGACACGAAATCAGGCCCCTGACTGTCCATGCTGTTCTCCAGGTCAGAAAAGTCCACACTTCCCACTTGTGCAGCCTAGCACATGACCACGGTGAAAACCAAGTGTCCTCCCAGGAGTTCATAGAAGTAACAAAAGAATGGCCCAGCTTAGATTGTCTGGGCTGAAAACTAGAGTGAGTCACTGGTGCATGCTATGGTAAGGAGATACTCTGGACTTGACGTGGCCAAGGCAGACATGGCCAGTGCTCTCACAGCACATGTGAGCTGGGCCAGACACAGGGGCTGGAGGTTTCTGCTGGATTTCAACAGAAAGAATGAAAGGATCCAGGCAGACTGAAGGACGGTGAAAAAGTTTAAACTATGGGTCAAAGGTAGGCACTGCCCCATTCTCTCCTGTCTCTCTCTTGCATCTTCCATCCCTTAGGGGGCTGTGGGGAGGACTCACTTCAGGAAACAGTGGGCAGCAGAAAGCAGCCAGTGCCTATCGATGAGGACCGCTCCACAGAGATGCACGTTGTGGTAGAACAGGCTGGCCTGCCATGGCCACTGGGCAGGCGCCGCGTCTTGGCCACCATAGAGCTTTCCCACCATCTTGCGTTTCCCACACACTGTGAAGACAGCCCATAGCCACCCACCCATCAGACATCGGACTGATCCTGAATGCCATCTCAACAAGGCCCGCCCCAACTTCACAGGTAGAAAGACCAAAGTCTACCGACAGCTGCCGTAACCAAAATCATACAGGGCTGCCACCAACCTCACTTCGAGGCATTGCTGCCAAAGCCCAGGTGGCCCTGGAGCCAAGCAAGCAATGTGGGAATGAGGACCCAGAGATGTGGGGGTAACAAGGAGTGGCCACAGCAGCCTGTGCTTAAGCAGGACTGTCAGGGTTGGAGGACTGGGAGCCAGGTCCAGGACACCATTCCTTCTGCTAGCACACCTCCGCAAAGACTTTGGAGGTCACACAGTGGAAGCCTCAGGGGCTATCGGCTATCCTGGCTCAAGGTCATTGCTTCTCAGAAGCTGTGCCCCCTCCCACCTACCCCAGCACCCCAGGAAGAAAGATCCACAGGCATGGGTCGGTGGTCAGAGGCTATAGGGAGAGTGGCTCTACTTCTCTATGCCAGGCAGACGGTGAGGTTAGAAGGGAAGCACTGCTCTAAAGGTCACACCAGGGAAGGAAACAGTAAACCCAGACCCCTCAGCAGCAGAAGAAACCCCTGTGCTGCCTAGCCCTGTGCGGGTTCTCTCTCTCCACCCAGCCCCCAGCGCCAGCCCTCGGCTGTTATTCGCCAGTCCTAGGGTCCCACTCCAGGTCATGGGCGCCTCCTATCCAGCAAATGTTTCCTGAAGAGTGGGGAGGCTGACTCACCTCGGCTGATATCATCTCCAGGGCTACCTGCTTGGGTGGAGCCAGAAAGGACAGGTGGGGTGGCCACCGGCGCTGGCCCCGCCCACCGGCCTTCAAACCGACCGTGGACCCCGCCTACAGAGTGCTGGGGCCCACCGGTCGCCAGCTCGCCACTGTCCAGCACTCCCTGACCGCCACCTGTCATCCCTGAAGCTTGAGAGAGGTCGGGGGCCACCTGCTGCCGGGTGGCCGCAGCCTCGGTATTCAGGGGAAGCAGTACCGAGCACAGCAGCCAGAGCAGGGGACTCCATCGTCCTCTGGGCCATGCAGCTCCCATGTCCATGCTGGATGCCGGACATAGAGGAAGTGTGATGAACGGGGGCGGGGGACTGAACCCAGCCTGACCCCATCTTGACCCCACCCTGACCTCAGCTCCAAATAGGCCCTGATCCACGCTGAGACAGGTCAGGCTTGAAAGCTCCTGAGAGAAGTCCCAACTCCAGGCCCTGGCCTCAGGGTCATTCTGAGCCCCCAGCACTGACCCCTCCCGGGGCCGGACGCTAACACCACCCCACCCAACTGCAGACATTTTAGAGTGAAAGAGCCCTTGGATCTTCAACACATCCTTGATTTCCCCATAACGGTGGGAAGCAGAAGGATCGAGTTTCATACACATGCTTCTAGTTGCTGCTTCAGGATGAAATGTCCTGAATTCATTTCTACCAGGAATGAGATTCTAGCATTTTATGCTCTTTCTTCGGCCTCTTTTCATCCTTAGATTGTGAACTTCATCCTACAGAGAAAGGACTTTGTCTATCCCTGTGTCTAGGTGACCACACATTATAGACACCATAATGTCAGTTTAGTCATGGCTATTAATAAAACAAGGAGTCACACAGTCTTCTTTAAGAACTTACATTACCAAAACGATATAGAGTTTGGCAAAAGTTTACCGATGTTAGGAGTTATCTATAGTTTCATGTGGAGATTGGAAGGAGAATTGCTAAATATTGTAAAACAGGATGCAAGGTTGGCGAACGCAAAGACAGGGATGTTAAATGAAGCCAGGCTGTGATATCTATGACATAAATGCTCAAATTTCCCCAGTAGTGCATGACGAAATACCAGTTTTGACTTTGGGAAGTGGATCTGTTGGGGAGATAGACATCTGAGCGGTTTGGGGCTTCAGGTGACAGAAGAAGACAAGGAGTGGATAGAATTTCAAAGGCATGTTTAGGAAAGTTAAGGACTATGATAAAGGAACGAACAGGAAAAAGGGGCCCATACGATATGAAAGACTTCCAGGGATAAATTTAAAACAAAGGGGATTAAAGCAGGAAGCCATATAAGGCTTCTCATTAACCTTTTAAATAACAGCATTGGAGTATTCCTCATAGACTGTAAAATTCATGCTTTGCAAATGAGCAATCAGATGATCAAGTTTAAATAATTGTGTACAATCCTCAAATTTACAGTTAATCTCCCCTTTTTACCGCACCTCTAGGTAACCACTGGTGGGTCTCTTTTATTTTTCCTTGAATTTGTAATTTCTGGGCATTTCATACATACAGACATGAATGTAAGTTTTTAATTAATAATTAATATGGGGCCTGGCGTACTAGTGTAGTGATTAAGGTCCTTGCCTTGCACACCCGAGATCTCATATGGGCACCAGTTTTTTTTGTTTGTTTGTTTATATAAGCTTTTTTTATTATTTTAGAGGATGCTTACATAGTGATCAGGGTAGAAAGTATCTGACATTAGACAGAAGTGGGTGTGATCACTGTTTCTATATTTTCTATTTCTTCCCATTTCTGAAGGGAGGGGAGAGGCAAGGGGAGAGGCCGTACCCAGCCTTCCAATCATCCTAGCACCCGAGGATGGGGAATGGCTACCCAGTATCAACCCAGGATCTTTTTTTTCTTAAATAATCTTACTTAGTTGATTAGGGTACAAAGGGTCAAGGGCTACAGGAAAGTGGGTTATACCATTGTTTCCACACTAATATTTTTTTTCCCTGTATCTGGGGTCAGGAAAGAAACAATGGGAAAAGCCCCACCCAGCCTCCCACCCATGAAGCTGTTTTGATAGTTCAACAGGTCTGAATTGCTGCCAATCTTGCCATTCCAAACGCAATGAAACCTATTCAGAATCCACTGACATAGTCTCTTCATGGTTGGGGTTTTGAGATCAGCACTTCAGTTGGAGGAATCTCCAAAGAAACTTCATCTGAGATGATCCCAAATCTAATTCTTGTGTGACTTTGCCAGTACAGCGTCTGGCACAGTCTGTCGCTCATATGGGCGCCGGTTCTAATCCCAGCAGCCCCGCTTCCCATCTAGCTCCCTGTTTGTGGCCTGGGAAAGCATTCGAGGACATCCCAAAGCTTTGGGACCCTGCACTCTCATGGGAGACTTGGAAGAAGCTCCTGACTCCTGGCTTCGGATTGGCTCAGCTCTGGCCATTGCAATTCACAAGAGTGAATCATTGGATGGAAGATCTTGCTCTCTGTCTCTCCTCCTCTCTGTATATCTTTCCAATAAAAATAAATAAATCTTTAAAAATAATAATATGTAGGTTTCCACATCTGGATTATTTCATAATAATTTTAAAGTTGCTTTGTAATATTACATACATAATTATTTTGAAGTATTTTATTCTGATGTTTGTGTCATGTTTTTGAGTTTTTGTGTTCTCAGCTGTATCATGTTTTTACTCTGTTAACATGTTGATGGACTTGTTTGTAGTTTGGGACTATTATGAATTATACCGGTATAAATGTTCTTGTTTAAGACTTTGCATGAATATACAAGTATATTTTTGTTTGTCCTGGGGAAATTCCTAGAAATGGGTCATGTGATAAGGACATGTTTAACATTTCATCAGTTTCCAGACTGTTTTGCAATGGATGCATACCATTGTACGTTTCCATTACAATCCACAAACATTCTACTTTTTCACATACATGTTTGTCTTGGATATTATGGCTTTTCTATTACAGCCATTCTACTGGAAATGAAGTGTTTATCTCATTGTAGTTTTAATTTGCATTTCCCTAAAATTTAATGATGTTAAACATGTTTTCATGTGCTTCCTTGCCATTCATTATCTTCATCATATTCAAAACTATTTCATTTCAACAAATGTTACCCATCATTTAATATGAAAGTTGTCCATATATTCTCTCACAAGTTATTTTCCAGGTATAGCTTTGTGAATGTTTTCCTCAAGTCTGTGTTTTGCCTTTTTGTTCTTTTAACATTGGCTATACACAGTTTTAGCAATCATATAGATGAATACATTCATCTTGGAAAACACTAGAGATTTCTTTTCCAAGCTAAAAGTGGCCCTGACACATAATCCAGCAACCTTGCTACTGTGTATATATCTAAAAGACATGAAATCATTGTATCAAAGAGATGCCTGATCCACCGTGTCAAAAGGAGCAGTATTCACAATTGCTAGACATGAAATAAACCAAAATGTCCATCACTAGATGAATGGATAAAGAGAATATTGTACAAGTACACGATGAAATATTACTCAGCCATAAAAATGAATGAAATTCTGTCATTTGTATCAAAATTGGTAGAACGAGACATTGAGTGAAACAGAGATGGGGAGATAAATAGGACACATTCTCTCCGACATGAGGGAGTTCAGAGAAGTCAATCTGAACACAAGCTATTTCCTGAGTAGCAAGAGGAGAGGTGTACTGAGATTCTTCATATTACTACTTCACGATTTTTTCATAAGTTTTAAAACTTTTTCTATAAAAAATTTTAAAACTATATTGACTACTGGAAAGCAAATTTGTTTTACTTCATTAAAGTTCAGTTTATCATTTGCTTGCTGCGTGGGCCAAATTAAAGGGATCGCGAAGATTTTTTTTCTATGATTTTTTTCAAAAGTTTGAAGGACTAGCTCTTAATGTTAGGTCTATGATAAGTCTAGAGTTAAACTTTAAGTTTTTTTGTTCTGTGATATTTTTTAGTTTTTGTTTTATTTTCTGTTGTTTCTGAATGCCTGCTTCCCTCAGCACCATTTATTGGTCACAAAAATGAAAAATTAGCCTTTCCCACTGTAGAATTCTCTTGGAATATTTATTAAAAATCAGTTGACAATAAAATATAAATTTTTACTTCTGGTTATGTTCCATTGATATATATGGTTATCCTTTGCTGGAATCTTAAATCTGGACATAGAGTAAATCTCAAAATGAGGTGGTTAAAATTCTCTCACTATTCTCTTTTTTAAAATTTTTAGGTTTATTTTCCATTAAACTTTAAAATTAGCTTGTCAATTTCTATCCCCAAAATGTCTACTGAGATTTCATAGGGTCTGAAATGGATATATAA